GTTGACCCTGACACACATACACCTACCTCCTGGAGAGTGTTCTTGATCTGGCCAACTGTTGTGAAGGGTGTTTTCTTCACCAGAGAAAGGATTCTTCGGTCATCCACCACAGTTATTTTCTGTTGTCTCCCGGGTCTTTTGGCGTTGCTAAGCTCACCGGTGCGTTCCTTCTTTTTGAGAATGTTCCAAACAGTTGTTTTGGCCACGCCTAATGTTCTTGCTATCTCTCTGATGGGTTTGTTTTGTTTCTTCAGCCTAATGATGGCTTGCTTCACTGATAGTGACAGCTCTTTGGATCTCATCTTAGAGTTGACAGCAACAGATTCCACATGCAAATAGCACACTTGAAATGAACTCTGGGCCTTTTATCTGCACATTGTAATTGTGCAGCAGTGTTCATGCTATCCTTTTTTTAGGCTATAGAAATGCATACTGTGTTAAGATATTAGGCGTGGCCAAAACAATCGTTTGGAACATTCTCAAAAAGAAGGAACGCACCGGTGAGCTTAGCAACGCCAAAAGACCCGGGAGACAACAGAAAATAACTGTGGTGGATGACCGAAGAATCCTGTCTCTGGTGAAGAAAACACCCTTCACAACAGTTGGCCAGATCAAGAACACTCTCCAGGAGGTAGGTGTATGTGTGTCAAAGTCAACAATCAAAAGAAGACTTCACCAGAGTGAATACAGAGGGTTCACCACAAGATGTAAACCATTGGTGAGCCTCAAAAACAGGAAGGCCAGATTAGAGTTTGCAGTCTCCAGTTAAGGCACATTGTGTTTGTTTCATTCCAGATCCATTGTGGTGGTGTATAGAGCCAAAGATGTTAGAACTGTGTCGATGTCCCAATATTTCCGGACCTGACTGTATGTCTGGCTGGCCACTGTTAGAAAAATAAATGTTGAGCTACATGGATCTTTCGATCTAATATGTCAATCTGGTGTTATGCAGATACTTAAAAAAAAATCATGTGCAGCAGTGTTCATGCTATCCTTTTTTTAGGCTATAGAAATGCATACTGTGTTAAGATGCATACTATGGTAAATGCTCTCATAACAGTGAATACTGCCCTATGTCTCTGTAGGTTTAAAGACAACATCTGCCTTTAGACATAACACTTTATAATTTAGGTGCACAACCAGGGAGATTTCTACATTTCCTCTAATATTCGCTCTTAGAACAAAATCCAACAGTAACCAAGACATCAGTGCGTGCCTTTCATCCAGCTTGCAAAGGATGATGAGTATCTTTACCTGGAAAATATCTTTCTGGGACTTTAGAAATATAGAAGAGAAATGCTATGATAGCTATTAGGTACATCACAATCACACGGGGAGCAAATTCCTGAAAGAGGAAAATAAAACATTAGCTATAATCACTGAAAGCACCAAGTTACAGATCTCAGACACTTCGGAAAAAAGATGGTAATCATTTTCAACAGATTTCAATTACCGTAAACCAATAAAGCCGGGCAACTTGCAAAATCTACTGAGTTCACTTTCTTATACATGTTTTATGCATGTCATTCAAATAAAGAATTAAATGCAGGGTACTTACAGTGTGGGTTACTAGGTTTTCCCTAAAAAACATTTTCAAAGAAGCAAAGCACCTGATTTTTCAAGAAACAGCTATTGGTTTGCAGTAGTACTGACAACAAATGTTTTATTTCTTTACACCCATGCAATTAATATTGTATTCACTCACAGCTTTGTTAACGGTTAAGGTAACAAGGAAAATGAATATTCTTATGTTCCCCAGAAATCATCATTTCACTACAATGCAAAAGAATTAGGCTGTAAAAATTGAGAGCAAGTTTAAATACTGAATGTTCTCATGCTTGAAGTTTAAATGGATAATAACCACCCTTCCTATAAAAGAAATTGTGGTACAATAAAAGATGCCCTCATGCCCAGTGCAATTGACAACTGCATGAACACGGTTGTACTGTTAGGAAGATGAATGGTGCTCTCCCACAGATGTTTTTTATGATTTTAATAGTTTGTATTGTTTTTTGTTTTAATAACTTTAGTGGTTATATTTTTTTGTTGTTTTTTTGGTATTTTTAACTTTGGAAGCCACCCAGAACCATGGAAATGAGATGGGCGGCCTTTAAAAAAATAAAATAAAATAAATGCATTTTCTTGGCAGCATTTTGGAAATATCTTCCCACTGCTGTTTTCCAAGATTTTTTTTTAAATTTCCCAGTTTAGCCAACAACTGTAGAATTCCCAAATGGTCCCCCATCTAAGTAGTAACCAAGGCCAACCCTGCTTAGACTCCAAATCAACCAAGGCTGGCTAGATGCTAAGGACATCCCTAAACCAGTAACTGGAAATAGGTTTCAATAAGGTCAACAGAACTGTCTTTGGAGCAAATATAGCAAAGCAGGTAACTTCTAAACTTACCTGTACAATAGATGCTGTGACACCTCCATTAAGCCAAATCCAGTGGATGGTAGGAATGATTCCATAGCCCGACACAGAGCAGAAGATGACTGAACGCAGCCTGTGCCATTGCTGAGTAAGGTAACTGGGGTGAATCTGAGCAAAGAATACGGCCAAGATCATAGCAAGCACAGTGATCAAGTATACTTGACGCCAATACTAGAATGGAAAAAAGAAAGGGTGTGTGTGTGCGTGCACGTGTGAAGAAACTTGGGTACTCACACAGCAATCCCCATGAATGTTGGAATATTTATTTATATTTCAAATTTAGATGCCGCCCATCTCACAAAAAGTGACTAAATATCCATTTAAACTACTTTTCCAAAAGGTGGGGAAGAACCATAAAAACAAGGGCAGTACCATTTGCATATCCAAATACTGACAGAGTAATTTTTACAGCTTGTATTCCAGCTTTAATTATTCAACAGTGAGCTAGGTCATTGGATATACTGTAATGTATGTTGAAGCCGCTTTCTCAAAATCTGCATTAGTTATACACACACCAGTCCAGGCTGACTTTCGTATTTTCTTTACCTGAAAAAGATGGAGCTGGGATTGCATGTGCACCAATGTGTCACCCTACCTTTCCCTACTCTAAATCTTTGTATATTTTGCTGAATGCATTTAGACGTTTCTGTGGATCGGCAACCCTAATCAGGTGTGATTGCCAATCAGAAGAAGCATGTTCTGTTTTAAGCATGCTCAGCTTAATGTATTTAGAGCAACTTTCCCTAATCTGAATGCTACAGATCTGTCCGGAATGCAATTCCTAAGATTTCTTGGCTGCCATGAATTTCCCAGCCAGAATTCTCAGTGCTATGTGGAAACAGCTACCTAAGATCACAATGTTGAATATACGAAGGCTGGAATGCAGCTGGCCCACAGAAGAACAACATTAGCAGAGCTTGCATGCATGCATGCTTCCTTCCCGGTTCATGCTCACCGACGTGGATCCAACATTCTCAACGAGGCTAATACTGAAGATCCAGAAGAAAGTTGCACTGACCATTTTTAGAGAACATTATTCTTGGTTGCATTGTATTGAGGCAAGCAAGGCCTTTAAGTGAGCTGACCTGTTCAATAACAGGTTATCCTTGGATTTTGAGAAATTATAATTAAATAATAAAGGTTTATTCAGAACTCATTTCTGTTTAGATGGAACAGCGGATTGGATTTTGAATCGGCTTCTTTTAAAGGATTATAGTACAGATTGGAATTCTGAATAAATGAACAATCAGACATATTGATTTATGTGGGAGAAGGCAAAGCAACCCCAGCAGAAGCAAAAGTACACAACAACTAACATTATGGCCAACTTACATTACTACAGTAAAATGCATAAAAAACTCCTGACACATAACAGCCTAGGATACCAATGGAAATTCCTGCATAATCCAATGCCATCCATCTTCGACTGGTCTTTTCTGAGCGATGACAACAGAAAAGATGATACCCTACTGAGCAAAGCATACAGACCTATAAAAACATTGAAACAAATCCACATTAATTTAATGCCACCGTTTCTTTTTTTAGATCCAGTATGCAGCACTCTAAGGAGATTGTGCTTTTCTAGCTGGACCTATAACAAGAGCAGAGCAGAAATATCTGGCTTTAATATACTCAACCTGCTTACCATATGCAGAGAGATGGAAACATTTTTATTTAATATACTACAGGCAGTCCTTGCTTAACGATCACAATAGGGACCAGAAAATTTGTCGTTAAGCAGCATGGTCATTAAGCGAGACAATACATGACCGGACCCAATTTTATGACCATTTTTACAACAGCCATAAAGTGAATCACATGGTTGTTAAGCAAATCCAGCTTTCCCAGTGGACATTTACCAGCAAAAAAGCTCACAAATCGCAATCATGTGACCGGAGGATGCTGCAACCGGTCGTAAATGCAATCTGGTTGCCAAGTGCCCGAATTGCGATCATGTGACCGTGGAGGTGGTGTGGTTTGCAACAGTCGTAAGTACGAGTACAGGCTGTAAATCACTTTTTCCATGGCTGTCATAACTTCAGATCATCATTAAATGAACAATCGTTAAGCAAGGACTACCTGTACTACCTTCCAGTGTAAGGGAACCCTATAGCGAAGCTAACAATAATTAGCAACAACCACAGGAGAATATTGACAGACTCAGCAGGAAAGTTGAAAAAAAATCAAATTAGATCCCCTAAAAACAGTCTAGCTAGTAAAATTCCTAATGAAATACAAATGCTTTGACTATGTGAGAAGGAAGGAAGGAAAATCAATACGAGATGCTACCTTAATTTCAGAATAAGATGACAATATTGTTCCATGCAATCTACAATGAAATGAAGTAAATGATGATGTTTGATTAAAAGTAAAGGAAAGGAAGCAAAAGCCTCAACTTGGAAGAGAATGAAAGCTTTACTCTATATCAGCCCCTCTGCCATTCCCATCCCTTGCAAAATTTGGTTGCCATACGTAAAGGAACTTACCTGAAAGCAGAAAAGACAAATAGAACAAATAACAAAATCTTCTCTAGAGGCATTCGCCGAAGGCAACACAGAAGTCATATCATATATGCCCAAAGTGAAGAAGAGAAAGAAGCCCAGTAAATGACTCCAGATATTGACTGTCTCGTTGGACAAAACGAATAGACTGGAAAAAAAAAAAAGATAAAGACAATAACGGTTGACTTGCTTTAACTGACTAATTTTGACTAATGGCAGCCTGAGTATGTAGTTCAACTCAGGCAGCTAGTAGCACATTTTTTCCATGCAAACTAATCAGCATTCTATCCTTCAATCTGTCTGTATATGTATCAGAAAGGGGCATTTTATGCTAAAGCTGGATTAGCATTATTAGCATATACTGTCTGCATTTCCTCAGTAAGAATACAGAATTGGAATAAAGTGAGTATTTCCTTGCTCTGTATTCAGTGATCTTATTTCTTTTCTTATTTGCAATATTTATATTGCTGCACTGTGTGCATGAAAGTGGTTCCCTTGTCAATCTATAACTTTGTTTTCTGTTAATATTTTTGTTTTGGGGAATAGCAATGCATAGATCTAATCAGGGATTCCAGTTCTGGAATGATGGAAATTAGCATGCAAATTAGTTACACTGCTGACAGACCACTTATTAGGAGATCCACTTACTTCTGTTGTTGCATGGATACACTAGGCCTGAAAAACTGCATGGTGGAGTTTGTCTGTTTAGATTCCTTGCACTAGAAAAAGTGACTGACAATAAGGGACTTATGCCTCAAAATTTCAAAGGATAATCAGCAAGACAGAATTAAGTAGTATTTCACACACAGAAAAGAACATTTAAATTAAGTCAATGCACCTTGCTTCATTAGTTGCTTTGATTATAATTTGCAGAAAGGCAGGATATAAATATAAATAAACCAAGCAGTTTCAAAATAAAAACTTTCATTGTTTCTTATAGGCACTGCTTCAATCCAGGCTAGTTGATTAATTTCACTTTGAACCATTTCGATCAACTCCAAACCTTTTTAAACACAGCCTGGAAGGCAGGTATGCTCTGTAGCCATCCGTGATGTAAGGATTATCCTTAAGGAACACAGGAATCTGTTCATAGGTGTACAGACGAATTCCTCGAGGAACGAGAACAGGCCAATACTGATAACTTCCCAGCTCAATGTAATGAGCACTCTTCAAGAGTTTCTGATGCATTATAGGAGTGTTTCAGTCATCAACCAAGGCAAGAGTAAACATGTAGCAATACACAAGGCATCTGACTTCTGTTATAAGTTATCTGCAAAATATGAAGACAAAATATTCAGAGGCTTAAGAGCTAAAACAAGACAGATACAGAACATCCAAGCTTTCTCTCCCTTCAATGATCACAAAACAATTTTGTGTTTTTTTATATATAGGAAAAAGACAACTCACATTTCGAAAATGCAGCAGCAGCCAAAAAAAAAAAAAAGTGTCTTACCAACAGCAAACGCTTTTAAGGCTAATAATTAGCAATGTAGGGCAAAAAAAGTGAACCAAACAACCTCTGGGCAGATAAAATAATTGCACACTACAGAGAAAACCCAGCCCTGCTGGGTGTTTTTTCCTTTTTTGTAGGACAGCATTCCAACAGGCAGACCCCTTTGATATTCTTTCTTCTTAAAGAAAGCTTTATCAGCAGTATCAGTTGATTAGAGAAACGGGCCTAAAGGCAGCTGTCCCAGAAAATACTCCCTGTTATTCCGACGGTCTTAAAAGACATGCTCTGTATGGACTCCATATAAGGAATCCCTAGTAATTTCTTCCTTTCCCTTGTTCCCATCCGGGCTGGCTTTCTCCGCCATCGTTGTTTCATGTTTCTTGTCGTGTTACCTGTTTTAAAAGCTTTTAACAATCTATAAACTGCCCAGAGTCGCTGGGAGTCGGGCGGCATATAAATTGTATAATGATGACGATGATGATGAGGTGTAGGCCTTCCAGTAGACTCCAAAAAAGCAGCTCGAGGTTTTTACACTGGACTTTAGTACTGTAATAGCAACAGTAACAACAGCAGCGACAAAGTGCTGTGTGGCGGACGCGCCCAGACGCGAAACCAGGGCTAGGGGAGTCCCGCGCCAGAGGAAGCGGGCCAGGGGCCACGGCCTCAGCTCCCGCGGGCCTTCAGGCACCAACTGACTGCGGCTGAGAGACCCGACAATGCAAGCGGCGACCTCCCCCCTCGCTTACCCCGGCCGCTGCTGCTGCTGCCGCCGCTGCCGCCACCTAAGCAGCTGAAGTCGCCTCAGCCCTTCAGGCATCCTGGCGGCAAAGGGGCTCCCTTCCGCCCTCGTCCTCCTCGTCCTCCTCGCCCAGAGAAAAGCCGCTGCCTCCTCTTCCAACGGCCCTAAATGGCCATTACGCCACTCTTTGTCGCCGCTCGCCGGCCAGGCCCGCTCCTATGATGCCATCCCCGCGCGACGGTCGCGCAGGGGTGGCGTCACGGCCAGAAGCCGACAGCGCCCCAATAGGACGTCGCAGCTCTCCCCTCCCCTTACGCACCAAAGGGGCACGTGCTGAGGGCGCGGCTGACGTGCACCTTAGACATAAATAGAGTGAAGAGGTGGGATGGGGTGGTGGAGAGTGTTTTGTTGTGGGGTGTCTGTGTTAAGAACCATTTTTAGATGGATTTTTTTTTTGATCATTTGAAATTGTAACTAAGAGGATTGGCAGATGTTAGTCTACCAACATCACGCATAGGGTTCTTGTTGCTAGGAGAATAAAATGATGACTGTCTGATGTAACCTGGAGGAAAGGGAGAATATAATCAATAATCTGTAAATTAAATCCAGAAGTGGCAATAGTTATTCTCAGTGCCCAATATTTCCCTTGAGTCTCCCTTCTCTTCTACCTTCAGCTGTTCTTCCACCTCCAATGCAAGTGAGGGTCTTCAGTAACATTTTCTGAAGGGAACATCCTTTTTCTTTTCAGGGCATCCCTTGAATTGGGTATCCTGAAGAGAAGCTAAGAAGCTTATGGAGCTCTTCCACTGTTTCCTCCTAAACATACATTTCTGAGAAAGCAAAGGAAGATTAGCAATTGGTTGTGGTGACATGCAGGCCACCCTATAAATGTTTGTATTAGGATCTGGGTGGCCATGATTAAAGCTCAGCTAAACACACTCAGAGAAACACGACTTGTCCCTGAAACCTGGTTGTGGAGTATCAGCCACTTATGGAATAAGGCCCCAGCCTTGCCTGCAAACTTGTATTTTTCCAGATGATTTAACTGACCAGAACAGCCTCATCAGTGCATTTGCTTCTGTGTTCATAGTCTAATCCCCAAATGGTTGACCTGATTTCTATGAGGCTCTATACCAGAATATATCTCTCATTGGTGTTTATGAGGAAACATGATGATTTTTCATTGGAAGCAATGCAAAACTTTAAAAATTTCTCTCTGTCCCCTATGGGGAGAAATGTGGACTATGAACTAAAAAGATGGAAACCCAGCTGCCCAGGGCCAGATGTTGTCGTGTTAGAAATCGCAATGAAATTATGCTGCCAGCTGTGTTGCGTAACCCACCCAATTTTATATTCTGACATGGAGTATCCTTTGATGCTGCTGCTCTTTCAATTCCAGTCTCATACAGGCAGCTTTCAGATATTTCTAGCAATCAATCATGTGCTCTGGATGTTTTTAAATATGAATGTTAGGAAGTATTTTTTTATATATCTCCCTTGCTGATACCATTTTCTCAGATCATTATTTACAACGATGACTTTTTGGATCATGTTCTTTTGGGAAGAATTGCACATTCACCATGCCAGTTCACTTTAAACCAGTGTTTCCTAACCTTGGCAACTTTAAGACGGGTGGACTTCAACTTCCAGAATTCCCCAGCCAGCCATGTTATGAGTGGAAGTCCATGCATCTTAAAGTTGCCAAGGTTAGGAAACACTGTTCTAAACCATAGAGTTCACTCTAAACTGTGAACTCAGTTATAACATTTAAGCCTCACAGAAATCAATGGGGTGTATTCTGTGTAAATATGCATAGATTGCATTGCCCATGTAGAAGCAGAGAGTGAACTGGCCACATAATTCTACATGCTGGGTGTAAGGGAATAACAACAACCCATCAAACAACATTTGCCTATCCCAGGTCCTTGGGAAGGACTCGATAGGTGGAGAAAAATGCCAAATCCTGTAAATATTTGGCTGACTGCGTGACCACCACCACTAATAATAATAATAATAATAATAATAATAATAATAATAATAATGATTTATTAAACTTGTATGCTGCCCGACTCTCAACAACTGTCAGTGCCACCTCCATCATGATTTAGATGTATCTAAAATATGAAAACTATGTATTCTCTTCAAAAAATGGGTTTTGGTTGTTTCATCTGGAATGCAGAAAAAATTATAGAGCATGAAATGATGTGGGCAAGAATGGAGAAGAGTTAGTTGGGTGTTGTTCTCCATAGAAATAATTTAGCATGTCCACCATGAGGATTCTGTTAAATCCATAAAATCTAAAATTACTTAGGAGAAGCATGGATTTTACTAGCTGCTGAGAAGGCTGGATCCTCTGTTAGACAGAGGACCAGGCAAGGATAGGGAGTGGTGTGGGAGGATTGATTTGACGTTTTTAATTGACTTGAGGCTTCCAGATGGAATCTTTTTCCAAAGTGAAAGTGTGATTCTACTGTTAAGTTCATTGAATTGATCATTCAGATCAGCTCAAGTTTATATTCAAAACAAATCTTATGAAATTCTTATAGCCCTGCAGATCAGTTGCCTGAAAATCCTACTTTCCAACTTCCAGCAGATGTCACTCCACCACTGTTATTTCCCCTGGACACAAACATCTTCACTCTGTTATGTTTCTGTAACAAGCCTTACCAAGGCTCTTGCTGTGATACCTTGAGCCTTCTGGTGACGGAAGCGTTTGTGGGTTAAAAACTCATCCACTGGCAACAGGAGCACTTCTGCCTTACCACAGGTTCTGTTCCCCAATTCTGCAACAGTGGTTTGAAGAGGATCTAGAAGGTTTTGTTAGATTTATCTCACACGTTCCTTCCACGTGCTCATGGCCTTTCTTCCTTCAGCTTCCCCCTATGACAGCTAGGTGAGAGTGACTAACCAAAAGTCATTTATTGAGGGTGGATTTGAATGTGGATCTCCCATGTTGTTAGCCACACTGTGGGCATTGTTGTGGCACTGAGAGAGTTTTTCCTTTTGGTGATACAAAGTCACTAGGAGAGGGAACTTTCTTTAGTTGCTACTGATGTATTCAACTTGCCAGACCAGGACCCTTTGCAGTTGTAGGGGTTGTCAGTAATATTTGATAAGGACTTTTCCATCTAGGTTTCAAGCAGGTTTCAACAACTACAGCAGCAGCAGCAACAACAATGATGATAGTGATGGATGGCAGTGAGAGGAATGCTTGGAAAATCTCATGTAGCTTAACATGATCTATCTGCTCCAGGATATACTAAGAAAGAAGCTGGTTTTCCTCACACCTCCAGTTAATGTATGAATGGGGGGAAAGTTCTATTAATACCTTTTTGCTGTATCACACCTCTGGGGCACACCTATGTTTAAGAGGAAAGTGGAGGAGGAAAGGCAGAGAGTAGACAGAATGACAGCTGGGATAGCAACAGCAGGGGCAATAGGACTAACAACCTGGTTTATCACATCCAGGTCATGAACTAATCTCCAAGCAGGAGGATCAGAGCCTGGTTTTTGATAGGGGGATGGTCTTAATGATATAGACAGGAAAGAGGGGAATGATCCTATGGTGGAGACTGGTGATTGAGTGTTTGTTCAGATTCACCAGTGGAAAACCACCACACCCCCTTCTACTGATCTTGTAAGGCTGGTAAGAACAATGAGCAAAGGATCACTGTCCTACCAAAGTTGCCATCACTTCTGAAGAAGCAGGACCTCCCTTTTCTACTCCCCCATGCATTTTGAAAACAAAATCGATTGCCTACATTTTTCTGGCCACCCAAACCCTCCATTCAAGCTGTGCTATATGCAGAAACATCCAAGTAGTTCAAATGAGATTTCTATTGTGCAGTCATGGCCACCATTTTGACTTTTTTGACCTCTACTCCCATGGTCTTCAGAGCACCTTGAGCTTGCCCCAAACAGTAGCCTCTAAATTCTGTAAACTTTGTTCACTATCAGTTCTAATGATGCTCACCATCCTCTTTCGTTTTTAAAGTTTGGCTGCATTTCTTTCCATACTTCCAAAAGAGAAAGATCCAGCTGAAAGCAGTGGGATTTATTTGATTTGTATCTGGGTTTGCACTTCAAATCTTGCAAATCTCAGTGGTCCTTACAGGCTGATCTTATCAGGAGGAGTCTGGTAGCACTTTTTCTAGGTAACAAATGGTATTAAATGACATACATTTTCAGGACCCATTTCATAAAATTTGTTAGTCGGAAAAGGTGCCACCAAATCTCTTCAAAATAGAAAAATGATGTTTGGTAACATTTGGAGATCTCGTGAGACTTGGACATTTAAACATTTATTTTTGATTCTCTGTGTTGCTGTTCCCTCTCTGGTACCTCTGACCAGAAGCAATTCCCTCTTTCTTGAAGCATCACGCTGGGACTCAACATCCTCCTGAGCCCTCTAGCATCCCAATTCAGGACAGGCATACCTTACCTTCCACCCCCCCCCCCCCCCGCCCTTTCCAATGTTCTCTCTATTCAGATAGCAGATTTAAGTATCCGTGTAGGAGGGCAGCTCTGTTAGTCTACAGTGGCAAAAAAATCAAAAGGCGTCTGCTGTTAACTTTTCCAACTAACAAATTTTGTTAATAAAGTTTGTTAGTCAGAAAAGATACCACAGAATGCCTTCTGATTTTTTGCTCTCAAGCATCAGGAATATGTCAGTATTCAGTATACTACACGTACCCCCTACTTGGTGGGATGCAGAAGATAGAATGTTGGTTTGCAAGGCAGCTTCTAGGGTAGAAATCCTAGCTTGCATAGAATAGCGAGAGCATACTTAGGACAAAATGTGGACTTTGGTTGTAACTGGTGGATCAGCCAAAATGTCTGTCCTTCCTTCCTTCCTTCCTTCCTTCCTTCCTTCCTTCCTTCCTT